GCCTCTCTCCACAGGATATTTAAATATATTCACACCCAGTGAGGCTCTCCACACACATTAACATGCATATTAGAGAGGCACGGCCACGCTGAATATAGCTCCACCCACAATCTCACAGGATCAGGGCTGAAACGACTCTGTGCTCACACTTCATCGTCATAACAACCCAACAATATCCGTGGCATCTGATAACCGTATGTACGTAGGGTGTGCCCCTAGGGGGCACAGCGTTGAGTTCCCTAGAAGGGGAATCCCACTGGTGTGGCGGATCCAGCCTTGACAAGACAGCATGTCACCACAGGCCAGTTCTTCCACCCTAACGTGTTAGCCTTGTAATTCTACAACACAACACACAAGATTCTCTTCCACTCTTCTCTTGCTGTTCTCTGAATTTTACAACTGATTATGGTGGCCACAGAGAATCTGCTCAGTTTAGGTTGAATGCTTTGTCCTGCCTCTGTCATTCCATGCACAAGAACATGGTCTATCACAGGTGCTCTGATTTCATCTGAAATCAGATGAGTTCTTGGTCTTGCTCTTCCTCTTCCTCATCCTCATCCTCCTCTTCCTCCACCTCGTATGCGCACTCTTCCGTACCTCTCTGATTGATGGATGCACCCATGCCATCTGTGCACTTTGAACTGGCTTATATTTTCACATATTTAGAAACAAGTGTGAACAGTTTTGAATTACAGTTTTTTTTTCAATTGCTAACAAGCATTGTTCAATACTGAAGACACATTTTCAAAACTGTTCCTACAGCCTGCATTACCAACATGAATCTTGGCCAAACAGTTGATCTCACCTTCAAAACTCACTCAGACCAACAAAACACTTCATGTATGTGTCAAAATAAGCTTGCTTCACCATAACACTAGCCAGAATTATCATTCAGAAAACATACATTTCATTCATAACACACTGATCTAAAAACAATAACAACAAGGAGCATTACATAAACTATGAACTTTTATCTTTGAAGTTTGAATGATTTTGGACCAATTGGACCAATCAGACACACAACTATTTGTTATATTTAACAAATAATCTCTAATGCCCCCTTCACCTAACCAAAGGGCCAACTATGAGGGTCTATGGACCCTTCCCCCGAAATGCAACTAACACCTCAAAAGGGCAGAACAGGCCTCTGGTTCCATGGCAACCCGAGACAAACCATCTGATAACACTAGTTTTATTGCTCAAGGGAATGTGGGCAGAGCACAACTCACAATTCATTTACCCTTAGGAAAGACACACAATGCCCATAAAAATGGACTCTTCTCTAATTAATTCATAGGAAAACCTTTCTTTGAATGAACACACATATACTTCAGGT